TTACAGGTATGAGTCACAGCACCCAGTCTTCTCTCTCCTCTCTTTTTTGCATGCTCTTAATGTGACTGTAATATGTGAACACATTAAAACAAAACTTAGATCTCTCCTTTAAATAGAAAACAATACTCCTATTTTGACCATTTACTATCTGTACTTGACAGAAAACTCAAAGGAAATAATGTTTAAAGGTCTAGATTCATGATGTTTGATTCTAAGATTTTTTTTTCCTTTTCAAATGATCTATTATACAATTTCATATGCAAATTTCATTTAAACATATTTCAAGCTTTTTTAAAAAGCCAAGGGAGGAGGGAACACGTTAGCCACTACTTTAACAGACTATAAAAAAATTGCCAATACAAATTAACATGTTGTTATACAAATTCTAACTAGAATGGCAACATGACAAAAATCAACCACAAAAATCCTTAAAAATGAATAAGCCCCACCAATGAATATTAGTGATTCTAAGAGAATTTAAATACAAGCAACATATCTGTTTTCATTCCTCCAGAAATAACTACCAATATTTCTTCTATATTGTCCCTACTGAAAAGTCCATTAAATTTAACTTGATTTTAAATACTCATTTTTTTAGCTTTAAAATAATACATTAAGGATAAACATATAGACAGAAAGTAGATTAGACATTGCACAGGATGGTGAAGGAAATTGGGATTAACAGTAATTGGCATGCAGAATCTTATTGTGGTGATAAAGATATTCTAAAACTGATTGATTGCAATGGTTGTATCACTTGCTAAGTTTACTAAAATCATCATTGTACAATTGCAATGAGTGAATTATATGGCATATAAAAATGCCTCAGCAAATTTACATTAAAAAATAAATCATTACATGAGAGAAGCCAGACAAAAAGTATATACTATATTAAGCCTTTTATTAAAATTACAAAATGGGCAAAAAGAATTTAGAGTTTTTAAAGTCAGGATAGGGCTATCCTTGTAGGAAGGAACATGGCTGGTGAAGAGCATGGGGCGGGGGGGCGCTTTCTGAGGTGCCATTCATTTTCTGCCTTATCTGTGGTAGTTACATGGATGAGCTTAAGTTGTGAAAATTCATTGAGCTGCACATGTATGATACATGGAATGTTCTATAGGCATATTATACATCAATTAAAAAGTACATACATATGTACACAGATACACATGTCTGTTCACAAATGCATTTTCAGTTTGAAAAAAATAGGCAATTATATATAAAATAAGGCTGTTATATCATATATTTTAAAATATATGTCATTATAAAGCTTATAAATGATATTCAAATTTATGTCCAATTTATAAGAAGAATTCTAAAGGTAGTTTTGTTGTTGTTTTTGGGTTTTTCAGCAAGCAAATAGCGTCAAGCTAGTGTACTATCCAGCAATATTAAGGCTTCTTAACAGTACGTGTAACTCATCTACAGAGAGGGTTTTAATGGGACAAAGGGGCTTGGTACCAAGTAGTAGCACATTAGGAAGAGAACTCAGACAGAATAGATGGTGCTATGTCCACAGTAGAACAGCAAAAAACTATGAACCAAGGATGAGTAAAAGGTTATCAGAAAAAACGTATGCTCTTGTGTTCTTTTCTAGTGTTCTTCCACTTACATAGATAGTATCACTTAGTCTCTTCTGGTTCCACTGCTGCAGCCAGCTTTCAAGAAGCAGCACTAAGATTTCCTCTCCAGCGAAATGCTCTCTTATATAATCTAGCTGAAAGAGCCTTCCTCCTTTAATCTCTTCAATAAATATAAATGAGGTAAAAAGTAAAATGCTGAGCAAATGATATAGTTGAGTTTTTCTATTTGCCAAAAAATATATAGCTTTATGGGGAGGAAATACGACTGGGTTATTCATTCACCAAACCCCAAAGTAATTGTTATGGTAAATTGCATGTTGTAAACTTTCAAGTGCTGGTTTACAACTGAAATATTTTCATTGATAGTTAAGGATAACACGAAATGTAAGCTGAATGCCAAATGTAAAATTTCTAAAGTTATCCAGTTGCTAAATTGTCATTTTAATATTTAGATATCCAAAGATATATCATATTTTTTTAAAACTCTCTGAAATATATAAACATAAAACAAAAAGAAAGAGGAACCATATACCATTCAAATAATAGAGTTAAGAAATCTTTTAAGTGGCATGACAAAATTAGAGAGCATATTTAGTTATTCATTTATGTATCCAAAGTTGGTTTTAAGTAGATTCAACAGGCAGTCTGCCTTCTAGAAGCTTACAATTTGCTGTAAACAAGGCAGCTGTATGGTAATATAGGTTTGTTAATGCTTAGATGAGATGAGATAAAGAGGAATGTAGATAACAATTTAGTAAAAGTATAAGTTGCTGAGAAGGACAAATAAATATGTTGTGATGTTTTAACAAGTCCTCTGGTAGGATAACGACACAGAGGTAGAGCATGGAATATTGGGGGCTTGGACAGAATGGCATGAGAGCACACGTGACTGTAGAACATGCAATCTGGAAGGCAATGAAGAAAGTGGCTTCTCTACAGCATATATCAGATTACGTAGCTCCACTGAAGAAAAACGGAAATCAAGAGTTATAGCCTTTCAATTCAACTTCCAAATATTTCACACTTAGCTTTAATTCACACGTCAGCATATAGTTTAATTTATGCCTTTGTTCAATGTGTATTCAAACATCTGTCTCAATGACATTTCATGTCTCTCCTTGCCTGGGACATCTGTCTACTGCATCATGCTGAAGCAAGCTATGGGCTTGTTTAAAAAGATTATGCAAGGATATGGTGATAACAATACTATTTATACTGAGTAATAATTCTCCATAAGATATGCTTTGAAATGTTTAGACTCTGATACAGTCTCTTTCTAGAAGTTTAAGTAAAAGAAAAGCATTAAGATACCTTAAAAAAACATGTTTCCATTATGATTTAAGTTCAAAAGCATTAATCTATTTAAACTGTTTATATCATTAGCTTGATATGTCCATATCATATGTAATAATTATTAGCACTATTTAACATGCTGTGTTTGGCATGATAGTGTAACTAAGTTCATTATAAAGCAGCTTAAGTGGCCATGGCCATTGCGTCTCTTGAGAGCTTACAAAATGGAACCTGATTTCTTTTCTCAGAGAATCAAAAACATTTACTTTGGACAAGTATAAATGTAGTACATTTAATAGTTAAAATTCAAGTGAGAAACTGCTTCCATGGAAAATTAACCACAGTTATTTCAGGTAACTGACAACTCATACTTGTGAAACCACCAGGAGGGCTTACATGAATGATTTACTAATGGTGTTTAAAGCATTTTTACTCTGCAGATTTGTCACTTTATGTATGCATCCCATATAGTTCAGTGGCTCCAAAGACTCCATTATAACTACTTTTTTGAAATAATTATAAGATTAAAAGCTTATTTTCAGAGCCGTTAATAATATCAATGAAAGGATTAAAACAAATTTCGGTGAAAATCATATAGAGATGAAAGAGCTAATGCTTCTATTACATTTTAAGTGAAAAATGAATCAGAGAAGGTAGTATTTTCTCCTCAACCTATAACCCAAGTGAATTCTATAGAATCTTATGTTTGATTAACTAAAACAAATTAAAATAACAATTTAGTCACAGTACCTTTCCATACCACTTAAACAAAATCACTCCTAAAAGACAATTATAATATCTCCACACAACGAAATAATTAGCACTCTTTCAGGCATAGCATTTAGGATAGTTGGAGGTATGTCAAATATATAACAATGATAGAGACACACAATGGTAGCAAGATGCAACCAACCTTTATCAAATGAAATCCCTAATATTAATTTTTTATTTCTCATTAATGCTCATCTTAGCAGGAGCCATCATATGAGTAATAGACAAATAAAAGCCCTCGGATTTGTCCAGACTTCATCATCCTTCAAGTACACACCAATGTTTTAATCATCAAAAACCTGACATATTATAATTTATATTGATAATTTATACATCAGTAATTTATAAAACTAAGATATTCACTATCAATGCATTAATTACATCCAAAAATACTTAGAATTTTGTATTTCAAGAAGATAAAAGGTGAAAAATAAGGAAGGCTTTCTTAAGTACAAGAAATCTTGTACTTAAGATCTGTACTTGAAATCTACTTGTCTTTAGACTTCAATTTGTTTAGTTTTACCTAAGATAGAGTTTTCCCTATAAAGAAGTCCTTAAATAATAGAAGGAAAAGAAATAACTGAATAGCTAAAGGCTTATAGTAAATGAATGACTTTATCCCTGATTTCTGAGAAAGCATGGCAATAGTGAACAATCATCTAAAAGATACATAATATTTAGTTAACTTATCAAGAAATTTTAACATAATTTAAACCTTATATAATATGCATTCCTATTGTCCAACCTCTTTAGAAACAAAAATATTTTTCTTACCCACTGATATTATATGGTACGTTAATTTATAGTAGGTTAATATGGCCAAATTTAGACTGCTCAAATGTTTAAATTAATTTCATATGCTGAATAGCAAAACAATACTTTTTAAATTAATCCTTAATCAATAGTCATACTATATTTTGATTGATTCATAATAAAATTATCTATTAATTTTTACTTCTTCCTTTTTTATCCCCCACATTTTTAGAAAGTTATCATTAGCAGTAAAATTTTTTTGCAATTTTTGGAGAAAATTCTATTTTTGAAAATTGTGACAAATACGTTTACTATCTCATGTAATGAACTCAGTTCTAGAGAACACTATCAAAATAATTGCAAGCAATTTTATGCAAACCATGACATGTAATAAATAATCAAATAAATTGTAATACTTTTTAAATGCTATTTGCAATTAACATTTTGGTGATACAGGGAATAGTCTGACATGGAAAAACTATTTCAAAGTATCCTAAAATACATAACACTGTTTATATTCTTATGTTCAATATGTAACACAGATGCATGTTGAAGGAATATGTTATATGCACAAAGAAAAGAATATTAGAAGTATCATACCTTTGAGACATAATCTTATAGGCATCTGGCAGATAACATCGGATATTCTCCATCTGAGCAGGGTCAGAGTCACAAATTTTGTCATCAGTCCTGCCATAGTTGGCACTTTCTATCATGATGACATCTGTTCCTGGACAGCGGAGCTCTATAGGATAGCTCTCACAGGACAGCTCTCTGCGGACCACAGCCATCGGAATTGGGGCACGGCTGAAAGCTGCAGAAAGGAAGAGGAAGAAAAGAGATGCCACTGTTACCACATAAAAAGGAAAATTACACATGTTTGCTTTTCCAGTGCTTGGGGTAAATCAATACCAAGATACACAGCAGTTAAGATTCATAATTATAAATAAACTAGAATATTTTTCATTTCAGGAACTTTATGTTTTTCTTCTAATCTAACAAAAACAGTTATTTCTTAAAATCTTTATCACATTTTTTTCTTATAAATGGAAACAGGCACTGTCGATTTTCTACTACACTCTTGGCCTGGTGTGTCAGACTAAAACTAGATAGAAATATCATCCGGTTTATACAGTCAAGATACTCAGATAAACCTTGCATGTGTTTTTTCCTTCTCTCTTTTTAATAACAAAATCATGATTGAAAAATTGCACTATTGTTGACTTTAAATATACTTATGTAAGTAATTTATTTCAATTTTAAAATACACTTCTATTGTTTTTAGTAATACTTCATGAATTAATTGAAGAATTAATACATGCTATTTATTTAAGAAAATGGAGATTCCTTTGGAGGAAAAGTTGTATTTTCCTTTAGCTCCTCCCCATTCTTTTCCCTACAATGGCAACAGGTAACCAGTTAACCATATGGGGCCCTCCCAATTAGAACTTTCTAAACATCAACAGAATTATGCATCTTCTCCCACTCCTTTTTCCACTTTATTCTGGTAATTTTACTCAGGTAGTATCATACTATATATATTGTTTGATATTTTATATTGTTTCATTTATAAATGTAATAATATATGATGGAAATCTTTCCTTATCTGATATTCTTTTCTTCCTTTTTAATGACTACATATCATAAATATATAAATTATTTAATTGGTCCTATGTCCATGGACACTTTGAAAGGTCTTGGTATTTTTGTGTCATAATATTACAAGAAAGCCTGAACTTATCTGCACACCTTGGCTGTAATATTTGTGAGAAAACCTAATTATCTAAATACATTTTATGGTACATTTCTAAAAAATGAAATTGATGGGTCAAGAAGGCAACACATTTCAAATTTGGCAAATATCAATAGATTTCAAATAAACTTGAAAATGTATACTTTTACCAACAATACCTTCTTTTTCAAAATTTAATATTATCTATTTCTTTAAATTATGTCAATTTGATAAAAAATGCTATAATATCTTTAACTTGCAGTACTTTACTTGTACAGTGGAATATATTTTCATATGTTTATTGACCTTTTATATTGCTTTTATTTGTGAATGGCTTGCCTGCATTTATGTAAAGTTTGCTGTTATAAAAGTTTTGCATAAGAAAACTAAACATTTATCCTTTATATTTATGAAAAATACTCTTTTTCTAGCTTGATGTTTAATTTTAGATGTTCGTGGGACACAAACACACATCCACATATATATGTGTATGTGTTTATATATATATATATATATATATATATATATATAAACAGAGAAAGAGAGAGAGAGAGAGAGAGAGAGAGAGAGAGAGAGAGAGAGAGAGAGAGAGATGGAGTTTCACTCTTGTTGCCCAGGCTGAAGTGCAATGGTACAATGTACAATCTGGGCTCACTGCAACCTCAGCATCACAAGTTCAAGCAATTCTCCTGCCTCAGCTTCCTGAGTAGCTGGGATTACAGGTATGGACCACCACGCCAGGCTAATTTTTTGTATTTTTAGTAGGGACAGGGTTTCTCCTGGTTGGTCAGGCAGGTCTCGAACTCCTGACCTCAGGTGATCTGCCTTCCTAACCTCCCAAAATGTTGGGATTACAGGCGTGAGCCAGCCACGGCACCCAGCCATATTTAATTTTTATACAGAAAAATGTCTTGTCTTTTCCTGTCAAGTTTAACAGTTTCCCACTCCAAGATTATGAACATAATCAGTACATTATTGGGAAAGAGTTAAATGTCAAGTTATGATAATTCAACAAATCTTTTATAAGTATGTAATTAAAATTTTAAATGAAGTGTTTACCAACTGTTGAGTATGTCGATTTCCACATTAAGAGACTCAGATATAGAGAAACATATGTGATAGCTGAAATTTGCATTTATAGTTGGTTAACTCACTAATGTGCACATGCACAAAAGACATATATTTAAATAAATATATGTTTTCTCTACTCATGGCTTTTTTACAAAGCATGAACTGTGAAAAGAGGAGAGGGGAGAAGCAGGGAGGTGAGAAAAGGGAGGGGCAACAAAAGAGAAAATATGTAACTATAAATATTTTAACTGAAGTTTAGAGAAAATATTGATTTGGTTTATGAAACATACCTATAATTTAAAATTGAGGAGTGATGTGGGTTTTACCTCATTTGTATGATATTTTTGAAAAAGTTTAACTGTACCATAGACCCTAGGCAAAACTTCTTAACAGTTCCCTTGAAATTCTTCAAGCTGCACTGCAGTTAATTGCATTCTGGTTGGTGTTCAACATTTTATTTGTTTCTCTCTGTGGCTTTCTTTTTTGGGCACACACACGTACACGCACACACATACAGAAGAATCTAGCATATCCACAGCATTGATTGAAGAGAGTTAACACAATTAGAGGTTGGTTATAATGCTATTTTTAAAGTTTGGTCTTGTGTCAACACTTAGCAAGGTACTCTCACAATAGATACTGAATTTCTGATATGTGCATTTCTATTGTCCTTAAAATAATTCTTTGTTATCATTCAGAGACTGAATGGTTATTTAAATCTGAAGCCCTTTTACATACTGAGATTCTATTTTCATGGATATAGACATTTTCATTAATGTATTTAAAGTCTTATATAATATAACCATTGAATTTAAAAAGGACTTGGTCAGTTTAGATGGAATCATGGAGGTATTTCTGTTTTTGTTTTCAAAAAAAAGACCTTAATATAGAATTTGCAGAATGTTTTAGAGTAAACTTTTATACATTTATTAAGAGACAAATTATTTCTTAACTTTTATAACCATTTTACAAAAAAAGAATACATTGAAACTGCTTCCAAACATGTAATTAATCTAGGTATACTACATGACTGAACCAGTCAATTATTTTTTTTTTTTAAAGTTAATTTAACAAAGAAACAGAAAATAAGCAAAATGCATTTTTTTTTCCACTAAGTGGGAAATTTTGTTCATTAAATTCATGGGTCAGTTTTGCCAAAACATTGACACAGCTTTAATCTGGGTCTTCACTGTTAAAAATATGATTAAAAACCAGATGCTAGATATTTGCAAAGTCAATTAAAATGTTGAGGTCCAAATTTTCCATGTATGTTTTGGACTTGTAAGAATGATTCAAAAGTTATGGATATGGTAATTTTTACAGAGAACCAGAGTTTATTTGTGTATGCTTTCTTCCACTGAATGTATAATTGCATTTATATCATCAGTAACCCAGTGACAAATTGCACTCCGTAAATGATGGATGCTTTGTTTAAGGGAATTTGTTAAAGGGAATGTATTACCGGAAACTACTCTATAACATTATCTAATTAACTATTTAAATTACTTTTAATTATGTTACTGTTTTAAGAGCAACAAAAGTTCAAAAGAAAAAAAAATTTTTTTTTGTTAGAAAAGTTTTTTGCCATTCAGTTATCATGCTACCAATGGAAAGAGTTGGTTAGAAGAGAAAAGCACCAAAATATGGAAAATGCCAAAAATTAGAATGCAGAATAAACAGTCAAATAGTCTATTGCATGTTGTACCAGGTTAATATTGCTTTTGGCGTTGTGGAGTGGCTCATGACATCATGATTTGGAGTAAAGAAGACATATACAAACCTTCTTATACCCCTTCCCACTTTTATTCCATGAGGTAATCTGTTATATCAGAGAATACAGTGTCATCTATTAGGTGTCTAATAGAGGTCTGCTGAATAAATTGGAAAAGTTCTAGATGTGAAATCTGGAAACCTTCTGTTAGGACGCCATACTTTGGAACTACTCACTGACCATGGGACTGACTAAAGGGACATGAACTAGTTAAACTTCTCTGATACAGATGCCAGAACCTCAGAAAGTTTCCTAATTCCATATCAAACATACAGCTAGTGAAAATTTATTTTGATCAGGTATTAACTGTGAGGAAAGCACATAAAAATAAATATCAAATAATAAAAGAAATAGTTTCCTATTCTTGCTCATTTGTTTCCACAGAAATTAAACCTAATTTTTCCTTATTTTCTGAGACATTGGTCACGTTGTTATTGAGAACTCTTGTTCTCTGTTTCCCTCTCCTTGAGTTATCTCCCCTATTGATAAGCCTGTTTGGTGATGTTTGACTCGATATGCTATAAGTTGTTGGTGAACTTGTGTGTGATAACGAAAGACCAGGCTAGGGATGGGAAGTCAGAAGGCTAGAAGTAGGTGACCAGTCAAGAGTCAGGTGGGCTGGGAACCATGGCTCATGCCTGTAATCCCAGCACTTTGAGAGGCCAAGTTGGGCGGATCACCTGAGGTCAGGAGTTCGAGACCGGCCTGACCAACATGGTAAAATCCTGTCTCTATTAAAAATACAAAAATTAGCCAAGCATGGTGACACATGCTGGCAATCCCATCTACTCAGGAGGCTGAGGAAGGAGAATCACTTGAACCCAAGAGGCAGAAGTTGTACTAAGCTAATACTGCACCATTGCACTCCAGCCTAGGTGACAAAGTGAGACTCCAACTCAAAAAAAAAAAAAAAAAAAAAAAAAAAAAAAAGTCAGGTGATTCCTCTTGGTCTCCAAGGACTGGTGTCAGAGACTTGCCAAGGTCACCCTAAGCTATTAACAGGGGACTTTCAAAGAAGGGATATTACTTCAGACATACAATTACAGGGCAAAAGTTATCAATAAGTAAAAAACCTAAACAGTCTAAGAGGTAAGTTGCCAATTAATTGGTTGAGGATGTAGAAAAATATAATGGATGCAGTTTGAAAAAAATACATTAAAATATATTAAAATACATTAAGTTTAAGGTGTCAGGATACCTGCAAATGGTCAATAATCAGTTGGATTCATGAGTCTAGAAT